GAGAGGAAGATGAAGAGGAGGAGGAGGAGGAAGAAGAGGAGGAGGAGGAGGAAGAAGAGGAGGAGGAGGAGGAAGAAGAGGAGGAGGAGGAGGAGGACGAAGAGGAAGAAGAGGAGGAGGAGGAGAAGAGGAAGACGAAGAGGAAGAAGAAGAAGACGACGAAGAGGAAGAAGAAGACGACGAAGAGGAAGAAGAAGGAAGATGAAGACGAAGAAGAGAAGGAGGAGGAGAAGAGGAAGACGAAGAGGAAGAAGAAGACGACGACGAAGAGGAAGAAGAAGACGACGTAGAAGACGAAGACGACGATGTAGAAGACGACGACGACAATGTAGAAGACGACGACAACGACGCACAAGAAGACGACGACGACGACGACGTACAAGACGACGACGACGGCGAGGACGACGAGGACGGCGAGGACGACGAGGACGACCAAGAAGACGACGACCAAGACGACGACGACGACGACGATGACGACGACGACGACGACGAAGAAGAAGAAGAAGAAGAAGAAGAAGAAGAAGGCGAAGACGACGACGACGACGAAGAAGAAGAAGAAGAAGAAGAAGAAGAAGAAGAAGAAGAAGAAGACGACGGCGAAGAAGAAGAAGAAGAAGAAGAAGAAGGAGGAGGAGGAGGAGGAGGAGGAGGAGGAGGAAGAGGAGGAAGAGGAGGAAGAAGAAGAAGAAGAAGAAGAAGAAGAAGAGGAAGGAGGAGGAGGAGGAGAAGAAGAAGGAGAAGGAGAAGAAGAAGGAGAAGAAGAAGAAGAAGAAGAAGAAGAAGAAGATGGAGAAGAAGATTACAGAGTGGGTTGCTGGTCTACCCCTGGGAGAAGAAGAGGAGGCACTAATGTACGTGCCCAAAGAGGAACAAGAGGCAGCCGTGAGAGAGTGGGATGCAGAAGAAGACCCACTGTTACATCTTCGACGCCACACGGGTCCTACCGGACCCGACTGAGGGTTAGAGGGACATATTAGGGCCTAAAGGCCCAACCTTGGAGGTACTACAGGCCGTAAAGGCCTTACCTTGGACCAGACCCGACGGGCAGGCCCAAACGACATTACCGTTTGGGCCTGGCGGCGCTCTCGAGGCTGCCGCCAGCCGGTTGGGGCTGAACCGTCCATCTTGACGGTGCAGGGCACGGCCAGGCCTCGCAGCATTGAGGCCGGCCTCTGCCCCACCGGTACAAAAGTACCGGTCCGGCCTCATTGAGGCTATTGACCTACCGGCATTCTACCGGTACGGTATGGTACAGTGCGAAACAGCGCTGGCGCTATGTTTAGCGCAGGAGCGAGGAGCAGTGCAGCGCAGCAGCAGCGGCGACTGAGTGTATCGGCTGCCATAGCCGCCTGAGGTATCGGGAGTTGGACGCTTCTCTCCTCCCTCCCATCGCCAGTCCCCTCTCTCTCTCCCCTCCTCGGCTCCCTTCTTCTCCTCAGATTCCATCTTCTTCTTCTTTTTCTTCTTCTTCTTCTTCTTCAGATTGGAGACTTGTACTCGTTGGACAGAGATCAGGGTTGGACTTCGGTGGTATGAGACTGTGGTACTTACCGGATTGGAGACTTGGAGATTGTTGGGGTTGATACTTAGGGCATCACAGTTCGGACACCGGTTACATTTGGACTCTGTATCTCCGACATTGGTGACTGATTGTCCTCGACATTTTGATCTTGTTGGATGACATTTTGGACTACCATATCGGTGACCTATCGGATTCTATCTCGGTGACCTATCGGTGCTGTCTMCCTCCCCCACCTCCTTCGTCTCTCCTCCCACCTTTCATCTGTGTATGTGTGTACGGGATCTGGGCATCGTCTATGCTTGGCCCAGACCCCACCATCTCATGATTGTATGTGTGTGGAGTGATACCTATGTGAGTCAGTCTATGTGAGTCAGGCCGTTTATCAGACTTCCGCTGCATATGTGCTCATCCTATATTGGTTGATCTTTGGTTCTGCCCATACTCATTGAAGTATGTAACAGTTTTGGTATCGGAGCAGACCATTTCACGGATCTGCTCACCAGGTAAGTCTGATTAGGAAGTAGATTGCTTTTTCAATCACCCAAATCAGCTCTGAATTACTATCGAGTTCAAAGTTGCAAATTTTTTTTCTTTTTTTTCGGTATTCTATTTATTTCGGCATTGCCGTTTCAATTTGGTATTCGGACTTATAATTCGGATTTCGGTTTTCTTCCGGTATGCTGTTTATTTGGGTTCCGATTAGTTGATGCAATCAAACTCGTCTTCTTCCCACTTTGTCATGCCTGCAAACAGCGGTACAGCAACTGGCGACATGCGCCCACACAGTACTCAAGATATCGTAACCAGATATGAGTTCTCTTCAACTGGCTATGGCGACTGGGCGCCCACACAACTCACTGTTCGCACTCTGGATCACCCTGGATGTCCCACACGCAACACTCAGTATCATACACAACACACACACA